GAGAGAGAGAGAGAGAGAGAGAGAGAGAGAGAGAGAGAGATTTGTCCCAGCTCTTTAAGCTGATTCCGCAGGAAGACACCACAGGTGGTCTTGGGGAGGTGGTAGCCATGACTGCAGGACACTTCTTGCCAATTACCCAGCGCTGAGCCCAGATGAGGCTCCTCCTTGTCTGCTGGGAAAATATACACTTCTTTCCTTGGTGCACTGCAGGGGTGCGGAGGGATGCCAGCTTCAACAGAGCCCACTGTCACCCTTGAGGGCAGCCTAGGAATGGCCACGGCTGACTTTTGTCCTGTCCTTGTGGGCGCATATCCCTAGAGAACTGATTGATTGATTTGGCTTCCCACTGCCTTTTGCTCCTGCATAGCTACAAGGCACGGAGTGACACACAGCCAACAACTAGATCAACTGACTAAGCTGAGCCCTCCCACCACGCTGGAAGCCACCTCCTCAGGTATGTGTTTAGGCACCAAGTTAGGATTTAGAACAGCCTGCTTGGCTGGGAACCCATCAAGGCTATGATTGTGGGCTTGGTGCAGACCAACACTGGGCTGCCTTTGCCTCTGAGGAGCTGTAACAAAGGCTTGGGCAGGGACCAGGGCTGGCAGGAACAGAGGGAGCCAGCTGTCATCTTCCACCGGCCCTGAGGGATACACAGAGCTTTTCTCTCAGGCAGACTGGCCTGTATTTGTTTATGTTTAGAGACACTTGTGACTTTAAGGGGACAGGAAGCAGTTTCTGAAAATACACAACAGAGGATGAAAAAAGAAAATGATAAGCCATCTGGACTGGGGACAGTATACATGAGAATAGGTCAAAGGGGACTCCCTCCATAGGGACCCAAAGCTGAGCTGTGCTGAGGCCTCCTGTTGGCCAAAGCAAAAAGGGAAATGTGTCAAGCTGTTGGGCTTCTAAAGACTGGCAGCGAATGCCAGCTGCACAGCTCAGCTGGTCGGTGGGTTCACAGAGAGGCCGGAGTGTCTGGATCTGGGGGCCTCAATCACAGGGCCTCATGTACTCCTCTACAAGGCAGGGAGACTCCATCCCACACATGGGGCAGCTGGAGCCAATGGGGTAGGGGCTGACTTGCCCAGTCTGAGCTCTTGCCAGACACTGCATCTCTCCCCTGGGAGGCCCAATAGCTGAGAGTTCTGTGGGCATGCTCGCAAACATGAAGTCAAAATTGCTTACTCTTGCTGACCTTACACATTAAAGAGTACTGGGGAGCTCCTGAACAGCTGTCCCCTCACCCCAGCCTGACACACACGGGCGATGCCCTCTCAGAGTAGTCTGAATCCCTCTGACGTCAGGTCCTAGTCAGGTCAGGTTGTCATTAAGTCTACTTCTGAAACTGATGTCCAGAGTCTCAAACAGACTTGACCTGCCTCACTGTTGACTGCTCTGGCCTGAAAGGCCCACAGGCCTTCCTGACACTGGGCTACTAAGCCCCAGGAAGTGGCCCACCCAACCAGTCTACAAGCACATCCTTTCTAGCCAGACATTTAAAATGCATCATTTTCTGCTGGGGCACAGCCTCGGTAATAACGCTTCTCTGGCATACCAGGCCTTGGTCCCACCCCATCCCCTGCAAAAAAGAAAAATGCAGTGCCTGCCCTCAAGAATCTCAAGCTCCTGGCTCAAAAAGAAAGACAAGGAACTCTACACCTTGTAAAGAGACTTTGAGTTTTGACCTTCAGGTTGACTACTCCAAGCTCGACCCATATACCCCTTATCAGCTCCAGGGAATCAAAAGACAGATGAGGTTCCAGTCCTAATTTTAAATCAATCACCTGTCTGTCAGCCTGCATATCAGGGCTCCAATGTTGTGGCCAGGTGGCCAGTGTTCAGTGGAGACTTGGGAATGCCCAGTAGTGGGTCCTCAGTGAGAGACATCAGATGGCCCAAGCTTCACCCTTCCTGGTGGCCTGTGCTCCTCCAGACCCATTCCTGGGAACCCCTGACCCTTCCACGGTGGCTGAGATGGGTAGAGCTTATGTTCTTATGTTATCTCATTCTGAGCATACTAAGATTCAACAATCCTGTGCCTGGCTTCAGGCTGGCTACCAGATCTGGAAATAGCCATGGATGGCCCCATTCCACAGCTAGGGAGGCGAAAAGTCTGCAATGAGACCCACATTATTGGACCTGGAAAAACAGGGTACCTCCTTAGGGGAGTAACATGGGCATACAAGCCTGAGTCCATACCTATTCCAGTGCCTGTGTAGGACCTGTTTACCAATGAACAATATACAAATGTGGTTACCAAAGAAACCAGGGAAGAGCAATGCTTCACTGTTCCATCCCCTTCTCAGAGCCCAGAAGTACAGCTAACTATCAACCCTTCCAGCAACCACTGCCTGGATGACATTACTAATGCCATGTCTGCTGAGGGGTGAAGGACTGGTCCCCGAGGGTCCTGAAACTGCAGGGTTTAGTCTGCAGGTGAGTATGTGAAACATTGGTAGGGTGAGACTGTCTTACTTGTGCCCCCATGGAAGTCCCCACAGGCCACCAAGTCTCTGCACATCAGGGACTTACCTCATACAGCAGGCAGCCAAGGGACCAGATGTCTGACTTGAAGTTGTAGCCATTCTCGTGGATTCTCTCGGGTGACATGTAGTATGGTGTTCCCACTGCAACACAGCAAAGGGTGGGACTTAGGATCTGGGCCTCAGGGAGAAGAGGCCTGTCTCCTTGGTCAGCTGAGACAGTTGTCCATATTAATAGGGCAATGAAATGGACCAGGGACCCTATGAACTTTAAGTGGATCCCCAGAATCCCTCGATTTAAAAACTGGTTGGGGGCCACATAGCCAAGATTCAAAGTGACTGTTCAATGCAGAGAGGCAAATGACTACTGTCCCTTTAGGTGACAGTTTGTATCTGGGATAGTCTAGAACAAGCTCTCAACAGAGAAGAAGCATTGTCCAAGTTGACCAAGACACATGAGGGAAAGCTGACATTCAGGCAGGTCAAGAGGCTTACATGAAGGCAAGAGCCATTAAAATGATCAACTTCATGATGACAGATCTTTCAGTTCACCAAAGGCACCATTCAGAGCTGGATGGCAAGCCAGGATGTGATGGTTTGAGTGAGAAATGTCCTCCATAGGCATAAGTACATGAACACTTGATCCCTACCTAGATGATGGTGCTGCTTGGGGAGGTAATGGAACCTTTCACAGTACAGCCATGTGAAGGAACGCTGTCAGTAGGGACATAGAGTAAGAGGTCACAGCCTCATCAGACACAGTTCATCAAACTCAGTTCATTATTGACTGCTCAGCTTCTCGCTCTGGCTGTCTGTGGCTGTCTTAGTCACTGTTCTGTTGCTGTGAAGACACCATGACCAAAACAAATTGGGGAGGAAAGGTTTATTTGGCTTATACTTCCACAACAGTGTTCACCACTGAAGGAAATCAGAACAGGAACTCAAACAGGGCTGGAACCTAGAAGGAGAAGCTGAGGCCATGGAGGGGTGCTGCTTATGGGCTTGCTCCTCATGGCTTGCTCAGCCTGCTTTCTTATAGAACCCAGGACCAGGGATAGCACCACCCACCATGGGCTGGGCCCTCCCACATCAATCACTAATTAAGAAAATGCCCTACAGCTTGGTCTTCTGGAGGCATTTTCTCAGCTGAGCCTCCCTCCTCTCTGATGACTCTAGCTTGTGTCACACTGACATGAAACTAGCCAACAGCTTCCATGCTTCCCCATTATAGACTCTCCATCTGGAATTCTGAGCCAGAATAAGCCTTCTGTAAAAAGCCTTTTCTTCTGTAAGTTGCCTTGGTCTTGGTATTTTCTCATAGCAACAAGAAAGTAACTAATACACAGGGACAGAGAAAACCACCTCAAGGTCTACCTGCCACAGACTGATGCCTACCAAGATGGTTTGGGTCTAAAACATATCCCAAAACTATATGCTAACAGTCCCTAGCTGATGGCATAATTGGGAAGTGATGGGATCTTCAGGAAGGGTTGTAAAACCTCTGTTTTGCTAAACTTCTCTGAGCTGTGGCTCCTAACACCCTGGGCAGGACAGTTCTGGTCCACAGCAGTAGTCAAGGGAGTTATGGGTATGTTATATAGCCAGCTGTACAAGTCTTTTCAGTCTTCTTTGCAGCCTAATGTTCCAGTTATTCAACAGACAATGGTGTGCGAGCTGTGGTCCCCATGAACTCACAAGTCTAACCATGACTGTTGTTTTATCACAATGGCAGCCATCACTCAAAGACATGGTTGAAAATTTGACCTCCTATCCTGTATGCATACTCTATGGCTGGAATCAGGGGCTGCTGTCTCCTGAGTAAAAGGGCTGCCAGCCACCATGCCTAGCTCTGTGTGACCCTCATGAGGTCAAGTGGAATATCACGAATAAACACATATGCACTTCAGTCATGAGAGCATGGAACCAAACCAGTGGCCAGGTGTTAAGTTCTAAAGGCATTAGAGCCAAATCACAGCAGACCCCACAGTCAGTAGTGGGAACTTAGGGACAACACTACTGGGTCTCAGCACCCAGGTGCTACAATTGGAGGTACCCATAATACAAGGGTGACAGGATGGGGCTGGCCAGGAGCCAGAGGTCAGAAGTTGTGCAAGACTACACCACAACTTTAAGGCCCCACCGGCTGCCTCTGGCTCTTCCCTCTTGTTCTGGCCTCCTTCTGTCTCTAGATCTGGGTAGGAGGGATTCTAGGGTGAGGGAAGCCTAGGTCAGACCTGTCTGAAGGTGAGGGGGGGTTCCAGCACCTTGTCTAAGTCTATCTCCCAAAACCAGTTCTAGCTGCTGTCTACTCACTGAGCTCTGTTCCACTGTGCCTATGCACTGGGGAGCTTCAGCAAAGCTGGCCACCACCTTGCTCTGTTTAGCTGTAAAGCAGGTCCTTGCCACAGCCTGCAGGGAAAGCCAAGGGTGCTGTGGGAGAGGCAGGAGAGGTGCTTGTCTCCCCTTACCTCTTGCTGCACTTCCTCCTCATTGATGTAACTTTAAAAAAAATTCATTTTGGGGCTGGAGAGATGGCTCAGCGGTTAAGAGCACTGACTGCTCTTCCAGAGGTCCTGAGTTCAAATCCCAGCAACCACATGGTGGCTCACAACCATCCGTAATGAGATTGGATGCCCTCTTCTGGTGTGTCTGAAGACAGCTACAGTGTACTCATAAATAAAATAAATAAATCTTAAAAAAAAATTCATTTTTGTAAGCAGGATCTCACGGTGTAGCCTTGGCTGACTTGAAACCCTCTATGTAGAATAAGCTGGCCTTGAACTCAAGAGATGCACCTGCAGCTTTCCTGCCCTGTTTTGTCGCAGTGTGGTGACTGGAATCAGGACTTCACCCATGCGAGTGCTCTACCCCTGAACTATTACTTCCAGCCCTTGGTTTGTGAAACAGCTTCTCACTAGGCAGCCCAGGCTGACCCTGAACTTATGATCCCCCTGCCTCTGCCTCTTATGCTGGAATTACAGATGTATACACCATGCCTCCTACATGTCATCTGTCCACTTGTCTGTCCTCAACTGTCCACCGATCTGTTACCTGCTTATCAGAGTCCACACGCACATCCATCAGTCTGTCCCTACACCTGCCTTCCCGGTTTTCTCCACGCAGTATTAGTGGAGTCGTGGCAGCCCCAAGCTGACCCTGCTCTGGGTGGACTCTCAGGTGAGAGTTGCCCATCCCAGGATGTGTCCAGCAGGGGAAAGCTAATCCTGAGTCTGTACTAGGCAGATCCTGGCATAACCACCAGGAAGGGTTTCAGTAAAGGCCCAGCTAAGCAGCAGTATCCAGGCCTGGAGTCTGGCCTCTTGTCTCTCTTGCTAGCTTCTGGGAGCACACTGCCACAGTCTGAGAGGAGCAGCCTTCCTTGCCTCTCTGCATCACCTGAGATGAATCATGAACTACAGCTGAGGACAGTCTGGCCCATTTTGGAGGGCACTGTACCCTCTGGTCCCCTGACCCAGGCTTCCTCAGTCTGTGGCTCTTAAAGGTGGGGTACTACAGAGGTGAGGGATTGTACAACTTTTGCGGGAGAGAATGAAGCTGGGGAGCGCAGCTCATCCTCCAGCTTTGCCACTTTACCTGGATTTTCTACCAACGACAAACACAATAGAGCATAACGCATCACTGTGTATAACAGACCAAACAGCAGACTTGAGAGAGACCCATACTTGCAGCAGGCCACTAGAGGAGGCCTCCAGACCCCACGGATGCTGGTTCTGGGGAGCCTGGAGAAACTGGCAGGAGGAGGTCTCTCCCTCCTGTCCCAGCAGACACAGTCCATCTTGCACCAAGCAGTTTCATAGGTACAGCAGAGCTGGCCCTGACTGGTCTCAGTCCCTCCTCAGAGCAGGGGGAGAGACGGTGCAGAAGAAAGAGGAGTCTACCAAACCTGACCTACCTGAGTGTTTATCCCAGAAATGAGGATTGCAAAACTGGCAGAAACCATAGAACATGGACCCCAAAGTGGAAGGCTGACCGAAGAGTCCTCCCACGACTCCTGTCAAAGCACACAAGTGACCCAGCTCACTTGTCTCAAACATTAGACTTGAAAAAGGCAGACTTCACATAAGAGGCTGGTGTCTGTCTGCAAGCTGCCCTTCCCCAGGTGGTACTTCTGTAACATACCTTGAAAAGCCACTGTGACATCCTCCACCAGGTGGAGGCCAAAGCCTGGACTCCAGGATGGATGCGGGCAGAGCTGTGTGTGTGACCTGCTCTGACCACTGTCTAGCCAAAGGCCACGGTGATTCTGCCTGGGTCCCTCATCAGTGACACCTCATGCTTAGCAGCTGGTTTTCCCATCTGCACAATGGGAGGTGGGCATCAGAACCGAGTTTGGTCCGTGATGAATTCTCACTAATGAGGGCACACCCCTGGGGATGTCTGTCTGTGTGGACCACAAATGTACCTCACAGCACGCTGTGGTCACACACAGCAGGGTCATGCACACAGTGGCACTGGCATATGGCAAAGAGACCTCTGCTTCTCCCCACCAGGTGTCCCTGCCTCACACAGCTTGTGGGATCCTCTCCCCACATGTCTTCTGGCATCCACGACCCAAGCCCACTGCCACACTGTGCGCTGGTGGTTCTTTTGAAGGCCTCCTGGATACAGGATGATTTCTTGCCCTCATGCTGATGTGGTCCTCCCTTCTCTCAGGCTCAGTCTCCTCAGCTAAATGAGACGAAAGTCCTGGGTGTGACGTCATCTTAGAAAACCAAAATGTTTCTTAAATATTTTTAAAGTCCCATCTTCTTCTGATTTGCCCCCACAGTGGACGAGTGGACACTTAAGTACAGGGTGGGTGCAGATCCTGGATGACACTGGGCTCCTCCAGCTGGAATTTAGACCCATAGCCGACATCTGCATGCACACTCTGGCTTTTGGGAAAGTGATCCACCCATCTGACCAGCTCACCTCTGCCAATCTGTGGCCCCTTAAAGGTGGGTCACACATCCCAGTATGCATAGGGCCAAAGAAAGGTCTGCAAGCCTATGACCAAGCCAGGCCTTGTGCCCCCTGACTGCTTGCTTGTCTGTTATGGGGTTATCCTCAATGGACTCTGATTCCCCAATCCCGGAGAGACCAGGCATCCCCACAAGGGGCTTGGGTATGAGCAATCTCCCATCCTGCCCCGTCCAGTCTCAGCCTGAGGCGCCTTGTCACCACTGTCACCACTGCCAAGCGCAAGGCCTGCGTTCCTGCTCTCCAGACCCACCATTTGTCTCGAAGCTGCTGCCGTTGCTTGGAGCGAGACACTTGCTTGTAGCTTGTGAGCTGTGTATAGGCAAATCTTTCATTTTTCTTTCATTATGCCGGCGTGTACTGTCACTTAATTTTTATGTATGCAATCCTTCCTGACAAATATGATCTGCTGCCTGGTAATTCGTCTGACGCTCATTCTGTTCCGAGCTCTAATTACGGCTCCTATTCCTGACACCGAGGCAGCCACTCTGCCACCGCTGGGTACCGCACCTGTCAGCCCGACCATGGCACTGACTAATGCCCTTTCATGCCAGCCTCCTGTTAGCAAATACAAGCATAAGGAGGGGCCAGGGAGGGAAGGAAAAGAAGGGATTTGCATAAGCCCAGCTCCGGGTCAGCAGCTTTAGTACATGAGGAGGGCGCCAGGACAATGTGGCTCCTGCCCCAGCATCTCCACATAGTAGGTGCACATTAGATGTAGGAGATGAATAATTCATAGTCACACACAGGGTGTCAAGGGCCCCTACATCCTTACTGTGTCATGGTGTGGTAGCAATTAGCTCGTTTTCTTGCCCAAACAGACTTGTGTGCACTTAGCTGTATACAGAACTGGTAGTAAAAGGGTGCTTTCCCCTGGAGCTTGGAGACTTCTGGTCCTGGGTTGTGGGTCTGACTGTCATCCTCCAGGGTAGGTACAGAGAACAGGCCTCAGCTGCCAGAGCTGGTTCAGCAAGTGCAGGTTGGTGGAGCGCCCTCAGCTCCATGGTGCCTCCTGGAGTCTGGTGCACACGGCCTGGGGAGGGATGGGCCCGGGAGGCACCCTGCACCCATCGTGCAGGGTCTGTGCTCAGGAGGCCTCAGGAGGTGCCGGGCATGTGAGACTAGCCTCCTCCAAGTCCCAGTTCCTTCTCATTAATGTAATAAGTGCAGCAGTCCTAGCAGATAAAATCACACTGTCGGAGGAGCTGGGTCTCTGTCATCCCTAACAAGGCGATCCTAACCAGCTCTGACTAGCCACCACAGCCATCTTCTCCAAGACAGGACAGAGTGGGACTTGGGCATGACTGACAGGCCCAGGAGGCAGCACCTTTGCTCTTCTCTGACAGTTTCCCTCTGAGTTCCGACCTTTTCCAAACTCTTACACCAGACAGGGACTGAGGAACGTTATTAGGGATAGAGCACTTACTTGCCTAGCCTGTAGGAGGCCCTGGGTTCTGTCACGAATACCACAAAGAAAAAGCATTCTAACTCAGTAAAAAGGTTGGAAAAGACTGGGAAACTGAGGCTTCCTTCTCATCAGAGAGCCAGTAGCTGGGGATTCCTGATGGAGGCTCTGGGCCCTGTCCTTGTGAAGAAGTCAGCACTACGCAGGACCGGTCAGCACTGCAGCATTGAGGGACACCATGTGACCTTGAAATCATTCCAATTCCCGGAGTTCCAGCTTCTAGGTCCTGTGGATCCTGAAGGCCAGTGGAGATGTGACAGAGCATCCTCAGGTCCTTGGGGATGGCGAGGGAACCACAGGAGTCAAGGGAGAGGCCAGCCCAGGTGTTCCCAGGGTTGAGTGGAGGCCCAGGCTTAGCACACAACTGCCATCGGCTGGCTCATTTCTCACAAGTGCATGCCTTGAGTCTGAGTCATCACGACCTGAATGAACAGCGGCAGTTTCCAGAGGGAAGTTTCCCACAGGGAACCTGTGCCTCCACCAGAAGCTGCTGTTGGCTCATGGCTGGCCAACAGCAGGCACCCAAGTGTGGGGTGATGGGAGACACCCAGACTGCGGCTGTGGAGTGGGATGGAAATGAGTAGAGCCAGAGGTTTTCCTGGGAGGTGGCCACAGACATGCTGGCTCTGGGTCACTTCTTTCTCTCCTAGTGATCCCTGAGAGATGCTGGGAACTGACTGGAGGGAGACACCAGCCTCTCATGGATTCCTGGTGAGACCCTGCTGCACCTGGGCTAACAACACGCGACAGCTGTCTCTGTGTCCCACTGGCTATGTTGGCTCCTTTAAACTAATTAAAGGGAAGCAGCTCCATCTCCATCCTCTGGCTTCTTGCTTACACCAGGTACACAGATTCTGTGAGCCAACGCAGCCCCACTAACCTGAAGCCCCTCTCCACACTGAATAGGGACATCAAGGCCTGTACCCATATCCAGACACCTACTTATTAGCATCATCCCAGGCTCATGCACAGTCCCCATAACCAGATGTGGTTCCTTCTTGGCCTTCCCAGCTGCCCTTCCTCTACAGTCCAGCCTCAGCCCCCAAGGCTGTCCCTTCACAGTCAAAGCAAGAGTGAACTCTTAAGACTCAAAAAAGGTCTTCCCCACACATGCAAATGGTCCCAGGAGAATGTATGCCCTTTCTACCAGGTCACCCAGGCAGGCCTACACGGGCTGCTGGGGAACATAGGCCTCTTACCTAGTGAGTGGGCTGCAGTGGTCTCCGAGCTGAAGAAGCGGCCCAGGCCGAGGTCACCAAGCTTCACAATGCCCGTAGCTGTGATGAACACGTTGGCAGGCTTGATGTCTGCAGGGGAGGACGTGGGGTTAGTGTGGGGAGAGCGGGCTTAGAAGGGACAGTAGGAGGGAGAGGGCCTGGGAGTGACCGTGAAGGACCTTTCAGTGAAGGGTAGGCCCTCACTCAGGGCAAAACCAACTCCTACCAAGACATCAAAGCCCATAGAAGGGTTCCTTTCTCTGAGAGGCTTCCCTGTGACTCTGCTTGCCGCCCACTGTGGAACCTGGGGACAGTTGCTTCCCGAAGCCTCATCACTTACTTCATCTGTAACATGACTCTATTTTCCCCTATGTCACAGGTTGGCTGTAAGTGGGGAGCAGAGATGTCTATACTCTCCTCTTGTACAGCTGCCTCCCTGGTGCCTGATGATTGTCAATCGCCCAACAGACACGGTCTGACAGGCAACAAGCTTTGCACTTGCACTGACTAGGGCAGGGCCTCACACAGGATACCAACTGAAAGACACCTTCCAGACAGCTTCCTGGAAACTTGAAATGCCTCCCCAAAGCACTTTCTGGGGTGTGGTGGGGGTACAGTTTGCTCAGCCAATGCCTACCAAGAAATCAAAGCCCACGGGAAACTTTCTTTCTCTGGGCAAAATTGGCCTCAGCATCAGGTTTGGCCACATCTGGGACAAGTGGAGTTGGCGAGCTGTGATGGCCCCATTCCCTTAAGCTTATGTGAGGGCTGTCTGGCATCAGAGTCGGACTCCATTGCCCTCACAGGTGGCTCTTCTCATGGAACAGATGTGAGTGCAGCTGTGGGATACCCTGCATGGGGAACACTAAATGGCCTCGTTCTCAGGGCAGCTCCTGGGGCGATCGAGAGCTCAGAGCTGTAGTCTGAGGCCACAGCCACATGGGGCACTCACCTCGGTGCATCACACGTCGGGAATGCATGTGCTCCACAGCGCTGCACAGCTGCACAAAGTACTTCCACACGGTCCTCTCAGGAATAAGCCGCTTCTGCTTCTTGAAGTACTGTGGGGTGACAGATAGCCTGAGTGAGCCTGTTTCTAGTGAGGGTGGCACAGTGATCATACAAGCAAAGGCTGAGCAAACAACGAGGGGCCAGGATGTTGTGTCAACACCTCTCTTCAGCCCAGCAGAACTTGAGGGGGCCCCAGATCAACTGCACCAGGAGGTTAGAAGCCTGGCCAGAGGGATCCCCAAGGAGGAGACTCCCAGTGATCTGCTCAGAGGGGCCTGAGGAGAAAGGACTCTCACTATCAGTCTGGTGTGGGAGGAGGGCCAGGCCTGAGGGATAGTCATTATTGTTCCCATGTCCTCAGAGTCATCAAGTCTCAGTGTCATGTGACTGTTAAAGGCACAGTAACCCTTGAGAAGATGGGCTTAACTTTCTCAAATAGACCCTTGGTTTCAGTGGGCATTAATCTACCTTCTTGCCTACTGTCTTAGTTAGGGTTTCAATTGCTGTGATGAAACCCCATGTGATGACCAAAGCAACTTTAGGAGGAAAGGGTTTATCTGCTAGTTCCATATCACAGTCTGTCATGGAAGGCAGTCAGGGCAGGCACCTGGACACACAAGCTGATGCAGAGGCCATGGAGGGGTGCTGCTTACTGGCTTGTTCCCCATGGCTTGCTCATCCTGCTTTCTTATAGAACCCAGGACCAGCAGCCCAGGGACAGCACCACCCACAATGGGCTGGGCCTCCTCCATCAACCACTAATTAAGAAAATGCCTTACAATCTTGCCTACCCATGGAGGAATTTTATTGCTATATTTTCTCAATTAAGGCTCCTTCCTCTTAGATTTCTTTAGCCGATGTCAAGTTGACTTAAAATTAGCCAGGACACCAAGTAAACCACATTCAACCCCCAGGGGGAAAAAAAAAAGAAAGAAAAAAGCCAAGAAACAACTCCCCAGGCTGCGCTGAAAGAGAACTGAAACAGAAGGTTCTGGAAGGATAATGCAGGAACACATCCTGAGGCAGAGCGGAGATAATTGTGTGTGTGTGTGTGTGTGTGTGTCTGTGTGTCTGTGTGTCTGTCTGTGTGTATGTGTGTGTCTGTCCGTGTGTATGTGTGTGTGCGTGTCTGTCTATCTGTCTCTGTGTGTGCACGTGCGCGTGAAAGCCTGGGCAGCAGGCCTGTACTGAGGTCTAGCACCTCAGTCATCTGGTCACTAAGCTGTGATTCTAGTGGCAAGAGGCAGCACTGTGGCTCATTTGGCAAGCAGTTACTCCTGTGTAGGAAGCCAGGAACTACTAGGGTGCTTGCCCAACCTGGAGAGGAAACAGAAGTGGAAGAAGGCCCTACCATGCACAGGCCATGCTCAGCCATGGTGCTGGGCCCTCAGCAAGCAGCACGAAGGCCCCGAGGGCTACAAAATGGAGATTGGTTAGGCCTTGTGAGCTCATCACATCTAATGACGCTGAGAATCTGTGACGGGGACCATGCCCAGAGAGGCTCACGCTCAGGCCCATGGCTAAGCATCAGGAGCACAGAGGCTGGGATCTAGAGCAGAGTACCTCCCGATGCAGGGCCCTGATAGCTGCAAGCTACTGGCCTGGAAGTAAAACCCCTTGAGGCTCTCCCGAGGCCCTTCTAGGAGGAGCTGGAGAGCTAGCTGTTCTGGTCTCCCAGAAGACCTCTGCTTTGGGCCACCCCCCAGGCCTCTGTGCCAGGCTGGGCGGGCTGTTATTTACACCATAATGTTATTTGGTCCTCATTATAGTGTTTACGTGGGGACGTGTGCAGCCGAGAGTGGTGATTTTCTAAATGTCATATTCTATAAGTGCCAGCTGACATTTAGCAGGAAGGCGCCGAGTCTCTGGTGGATTTCAGACAGTGGCGGCTCTGGGCTTCACCAGCCTTGTAAATAATGCCAGCACCATGGTTGACTGGCTCCCGAGGCTGCAAGTCCTCCAGACACGAGCCCTGCTGATCTGGGAGTTCTAAGGCCAGTGGGAACACTGTCATGTGACCCGAGTTTGGGGCTGCAAAGGCTAGGTTCCCCTGGATACCTAGAGAAGGATGAGGAGGGTGTGACAACAGAGCTTCCCGGGCACCAGGCACCTTTTGGGGTATGAGGAAGCTGGGTGCAGACACCTGCTAAACTTTGTCCCAGGTGTGTCCAGCTAGGGGACTGCCCCCAGTTCCCCTGCTGGTTGTAGCTGCGGCAGTGCTAGTCCTGTGAGGAACCTGTGCTGTCAGCTGTCGTGGGCTGGGAGAAAACCAGAGCATCTGCCAGGGAGGATGGAGTGTGAGGCTGGGGCAGGGACAGAGTCCACACCACCTAAACTCAGTTCTCTGTGGAGCCTGACCCACCTGAACCATGAGCCAAAGCTAGCTCAGGACACACAGACAGACTGGCTATAAAACTAGTGGGCTTGCTACCCAGTCTGTCTCTTTAAGTCTGAAAGAATCGGTCTGGCCTATAGCCCTTTCCCAGAATCTTCTTTCCTAAAAGGTAACCGGGAAAGGTAGGCACTAGAACTCAGGGAAGAGGGCATTTGCCTAGCACTGTTCCCCTCTCCCCCAAGGCTGTCTGCCTCCAACTCCATTCCAAGATTGAGAAGTTACAGGGGAGTCTGAGATCCATGGGCTACAGGGGGAGTGGAGGGTAAGGAGGGGGATCCAGGCCTCTGCTTCTGCTCTATCCATACCCAACCCTCTTCCAAGCACAAGGCTCACAGTTCCTGCTCCCTCCAGGAGCCTTAGAAAGCTGCTGTGAACTCAGCACAGTTCCCAATCCTGAGCCTGAACTGAGAAACTCAGCAAGACTTGACCCCATGGTCACCACCTCACCTGCTGCTGGACCTCAGTGCATCAAAGCCTTCTGGGTGCTTCCCACTTCTATACTCCCCATCTGCTCCCCATCTCCCCATCATCTCAGTTCAGGAACCACCTTCTCCAGGAAGCCCCCTCTGATTCCACAGGCCCTGACCTTGACTCACTCTGGAGTCCGCCTTCCTGGTAGAACTCACGGGCTAGGGGCAACAGTAGCAGTGGTGGCAGCCTGAGGTGGGGGCTGGGGTCCAGCGAGACGGCAGAGAGCTGCATGTATCCTTGAGGTATGTGCAGAGGGGATGGCGAGTGAAGGAGAGACTAGTGATGGGGCCTAAGACATGATGTATCACGTCTGTTCCCACCAGGGATCCGTGTGGAGATTAACACCCCTGCGAATGCATTAATATGTCAACGGAAAAATAAAAGCAGGTGATAACAGCTCAGTAATGCCGCTTCCCAGTGACACCATATTCCTAGGGGCCGAGTTTCTGAAGAGCAACTGATAAACAATTGCTCAGTCCCCAGTGCCTGCTGGGAAGACAGAATCCATGTCGGCAATAACCAAACACAGTTGAGAGCTCAGTGTGGGACTTGAGCATGGCCTGGCTTTACTCAGGACACACAGACAAGGTTGGGGGGGGCAGGTGATGGGGGTCCACTTTAGGGGATAGAGATGAGGACCCATGCCAGCAGGGACATATGGGCCTCGAGGGAGAAGCCAGGATCAGAGGCTATGGGTTAGGGCTTTTCCACTTACAGGCTGTGTTGCCTTTGGGTGGACACTAAACCTCTCTGAACTCAGTGCTTTAGCATGGCTGTGGCTGATGGCAGCACTCTCGCAATGGAGCTGCCACGTCCCTGAAGGCAAACCTATAGTAGTTCCACTCCTGAGTCCTGGGATGGAGACAAGACAGCTTAGGAATATCAGAGAATATGGCACTGAGTTTTCAGAGGTTAAAGTTGCTCAATCCCTCACAGAGCAGGCATGGAATCCTCACTATGGATGATGAAGATACCGCCTGTCCAAAGGCCGTGTAGGCTGTGTGGCAACAATGACCTCCGACCAGTGCCAGGCCTGGGAAACACATGCAGTGGTTGTTCTCAGACAAGCCAGCATTTCTAGGCCTCAGTTTCTCCTTCTATAGGAAATGGCAACAGGAACCATCAGACACGCCACTTAACGGGCCACTGCATATTTTGAATTAAGAATCCATGGTTCTGTTTAGCACGGGCTGAAAATTGGTGGTGACTAACAAGAGATCAGAACCACTAAAGGGAAACCTCGCTTTGCTGGTCAGCTGGAGCTGAGAACTTAGTGGTGATTAAGAAGAGACCAGCATCACTGAGGCAGAATCTTGGAAGTGTTTTCTGAAGATCAGCACACAGGAGATGTGTTCAGAGGTACCCAAGGTTGCACCTTGTGCTAGCACCTGAACTTAGTCATGTAGAGTCACCCAGGTGGCTTCAAAGGGACTCAGGGAACATGGAGAGCAGCTGAGGCTTGGCACTATGAGAGGGCAGGAGAGGCTACTGGTGAAGGTACAGCCAGAGTAGCATTTAAAGCCTCAGAATTGAAGGGGTCATGAAGAGAATTAGAGGCTTAGCACCAAGAAGAGAGCTCAGGAGGTGCTACTGGTGCAGTCCAGTTGCAGCAGAAGACTCCACAGTTTGAGATTCCTGTACCATGGGAGGACCACCAAGAACAGGAGCAGCAGTGGAGTGGAGCCAGCCAGAGCCTAGAAGACCAGCTGGGTGTGCTGCAGAGGGTGGAGCCTGAGAAGTGACCCAAGCCCCTTGAAGGAGCCCAGATGATCCTGCGTGGATCCCAGACATTTGACTCTGAATTATTTATATAGTTGGAGTTTTGTTTTGCTTTGTTCAGATTGTGCCCTGGTTCTTCCCCCTTGAAGTAAAGAAGTGCTTGACCTGCTTTTTATTTTACAGGAGCCCACAGTTGAAAGACTTTAAACTTTTTTAAAAAAGAGACAAAATTTTAAAGTGTTTGAATTTGCAAAGACTGTGGGATTTTTTTTTAAGTTTGTAAAATGTTTTCTATTATGATGTCAGTCTTAATGTGTGATTTTGAGGATGAATGAGAAAGGAAAGGCTGTGGGCCTAACAGTGATATGCCTGTGTGCCAGGCTGACAAGGGGTCAATCTATGTCAACTCAACACAAGCTAGAGTCATCTGAGAGGAGCAATCCTCAGTAAGAAAACGCCTCCAGAAGATCCGCTGTAGGCAGGCCTGTAGGGCATCTTCTTCAGTGACTGATGGGGGAGGCCCAGCCCACTGTGGGCTGGTGGTCCTGAGTGCTACAAGAAAGCAGGCTGAGCAAGCCATGAAGGGAAGGCCAGTAAGCAGCACCCCTCCAAGCCTCTGCATCAGCTCCTGCCTCCAGGTTCCAGCACCATCTGATTCTTGTCCTGATGAACAGTGTCAGTGATGAACAGTGATGTGGAAGTGTAAATTAAAAAGACCTGTCCTGCCCAATTTGCCCTAGTGTTTCATCACAGCAATAGCAACCCTAAAACAGACATATAGAGTCTGACCTTTGGAGGTGTTGACTGCTCCTGTTCCTTCTGTGGAGAAAAGTGCCCCCAAGTGCTCGGGCTGGAGCAGTGTGGCTGGCCCAACAGGTCCCTTCTGTGTACCACAGCCCTTACCCGGGCACCATCCTGTCTAGGCATCATTCTACCTTACTTTGTGCACCCCCTCAAGCCTGAAAGGAAGACAGACCACATAGGTGCTGAGGTCAGAGCCAGACCAAGCTATCTCAGGGACATGGAGGAGCCTCCGTAACACCCCCACCCCCGCCCATGCACGTTGAGAGGAGGCTGCCCCACTCCAGGCCCCTGACCTTGATCATCTGTGAGAGGTCACCCGCGTCAGCCAACTCCAGCACAATGTTCAGCTCATTGTCTTCGATGAAGGAGTCCAGATACTTGATGATGTTTGGATGGTTCAGTTGCTGCACCAGAAGGGGGAGTGGCCAGCGATGAGAGGTGGGGCTCCAGTGCTGCCCCGCCCTCCACGCCCCTCCAGCCTCTGCCCAGGCTCAGCTCAAGTTCACAGAAACTGTCCTGCTACTCTTTTGATCTTCCTCAATGTCTCAGCCATCCCTTGGAAACTAAGTATCCTTCCCACCCTAAGCGCCTCTGACTGACTGACTGACTTACTGACTGACTGGCTCTGGTGTCTGGACTCCAGGATAAGAAAGGGAGTGGAGCCCAGGCAGGGCAGTAAAAATCAGCTCCATCTGGAAGAAGACCCTCCCTGGTGGTGACACTGTACCTACATGGCTACTGTATCTTGGGGAGCAAGAGAGGATCCCCAAGTGGGGTTGGTACTGCTCAGACATCAGCCAGGGTCTGACTGACAGCATGTTTTCTAAATACTCCAGAAGTCTTTGAGCCCAGCTAGTCTGAACCAGCAGGAAAAGCTGCTTTCTCAGGTCTAATGATTGAGGCCAAAGATTTGAGTTGGTATGGCTTGTGCAAGGATCCCCCCGTGCTAGGAGAAGCCAGCACATCTCAGGGGGTGCTAGGAGCCAATGGCACTGGGCATAGGGTAAGATGGAGGTAGGGACCTGGATATGGAACTCTGAAAAAACTCAACAGATCAGACTGGATTAGACCCTGGATTGTGTGCATATTGATCTGTCAGCATACATATGCTCTGTTGATGAGGTGATAAGGTATACCGGTATTGTCTCCCATCTGTGTCTTGGATTTTCATCTTTGTGGCTATGATAGACCATTCTAGCCTTCTTTTATGGCTAATGCCCTTTGTATCTGGGGATACCTCTGTGTCCTCTAACTATGATGAGTCCCTGCAGTTTTCCTCTACAAACTTTCCATTATAGCCTTAGCTTGTGTTTTGTTTGGGGATCTCACTTTGTAGCTTAGCCCAGACTGGCCTGGTATTCACTATGTAGCCCAGGCTAGCTTTTAACTGGCAATTCTCCTCTGTGTTGGAATTTAGGTGGATGACACCACGTCTGGCTTAGCTCTAACTTTCAAATCTGTTCACAAACTACAGAACTGTTCCTGACTTTGGTCTTTAATTTTATTTTCAGACTAATCCATTTCATAACCATGTGTGTATGGTGTGAGGCAGGAGTCACAGCTCACTCTTTCTCATCAGCAGGTCCACATTGTCCCAGCACCCTTCTCTTATTTGTCTCCTGAATTGTTTGTGGTTGTTTTGAGAACAGCATTGGGGGCTAATGCCAGGTTCAGTTGTGATCAGAGAACATTACAACTTTTTGTTATTTATTTTCATCATCATTATTATTTTATGTGCACTGATGTTCTGCCTTGCATGTATGCCTGTTTGAGGGTGTCAGATCCTCTGGAACTGGAGTTACAGATAGTTGTGAACTACCATGTGGGTGTTGGGAATTGAACCCAGGTCCTCTGGAAGAGCAACCAGTGCTCTTAGCTGCTGAGCCATCTCTCCTGCCCTATACTTTTTCTTCATTATTAGTGTGTGTGTGTGTGTGTGTGTGTGTGTGTGTGTGTGTGTGTGTGTGTG